TGAAGCAGGGCTGTTTTGAATTGCTTTGATGTAAACAAATGAACTGTGTCACTATGAACTCATACAATGTATTTGATCCGTGTATTGAATATATATTTGTTTAGCAGTCTAGATTAAATTCCTTACAAAACTTTTGAATTATATTTAGACAATAAGGTCAAGTTCTTGTTGCAAAAGGTTAAATGATTCCCACAAAGCTGTGGTAAAAGACGTGTTCTCTTTCTTGTACAGCTAGAGTAAAGCTCGTTAGACCGGTAGATGTGGAAAAAGTGAGATTTATTAGGCTTTTTTTCCTGGTGTATGGGGCCTGCAATTCTTTATACAGGGTCAGTAAGAGTTTTTGGGCGATCTACGCTGTTGGTTAAGTGTGTGTAGACCATGAGGCTCACGTACCAAAGTCAGCAAGCTTTTTATCCGACATTTCACCATGCTATCCACGATCATAGTCAAAGATACTATTTTAAAAGAAGCTAATTGTAGAATACATTTTTTTCTATTTACAACTCGCAATTCTATTCAATTCACTCTTAATCCATAATAATAAAATTATATATAATCAGAATTATCTGGTAATGTTGTTGTTAATAACATACCCGACTTACAATGTATTTGAGGGGGTAATATTTACGTACTATATCAGATGACAACAACTGTCTTTTTGATGTATGAGTTTAGGCACTTGATTTAACGTTAGTGTCAATTTCCAAAGAAAAAAGGTCCTGATAACCCCTTACCCCCTTCCCTCTACATATTTCTCGATCCTTTCTACGCTCTTAAGTAAAAAATAAACATTCAGACAAATCCAGTAAACATATATCAATATGTTCCACGCTAGACTAAAAAAGATAAATCAGAAATAAAAGAAAAAGGTCGCTTTGTTATGTTAAGCACGCGTTTCGTGTTTACTTGACTATTTTTATGACACAGACGAATGTTATTGTTGCGTCCTCAGGAGAAAATTTCATGCTAATACATTCAAAACCAGAAACCGCTGAAGGAATGTAAGACTTCAATTAAAATTATGCGTACCTTACACTGTGTTTACCTATGTGAATCTATATCAGAGACTTTTAGCTTTCTCCTAAATCGTTGAAGAGAATTTTCCTTTGTATCTTTGTATCTTTGTATCTTTGTATCTTTGTATCTTTGTATCTTTGTATCTTTGCATCTTTGCATCTTTGCATCTTTGCATCTTTGCATCTTTGCATCTTTGCATCTTTGCATCTTTGCATCTTTGCATCTTTGCATCTTTGCATCTTTGCATCTTTGCATCTTTGCATCTTTGCATCTTTGCATCTTTGCATCTTTGCATCTTTGCATCTTTGCATCTTTGCATCTTTGCATCTTTGCATCTTTGCATCTTTGCATCTTTGCATCTTTGCATCTTTGCATCTTTGCATCTTTCATCTTTGCATCTTTGCATCTTTGCATCTTTGCATCTTTGCATCTTTGCATCTTTGCATCTTTGCATCTTTGCATCTTTGCATCTTTGCATCTTTGCATCTGTGCATCTTTGCATCTTTGCATCTTTGCATCTTTGCATCTTTGCATCTTTGCATCTTTGCATCTTTGCATCTTTGCATCTTTGCATCTTTGCATCTTTGCATCTTTGCATCTTTGCATCTTTGCATCTTTGCATCTTTGCATCTTTGCATCTTTGCATCTTTGCATCTTTGCATCTTTGCATCTTTGCATCTTTGCATCTTTGCATCTTTGCATCTGTGCATCTTTGCATCTTTGCATCTTTGCATCTTTGCATCTGTGCATCTGTGCATCTTTGCATCTTTGCATCTTTGCATCTTTGCATCTTTGCATCTTTGCATCTTTGCATCTTTGCATCTTTGCATCTTTGCATCTTTGCATCTTTGCATCTTTGCATCTTTGCATCTTTGCATCTTTGCATCTTTGCATCTTTGCATCTTTGCATCTTTGCATCTTTGCATCTTTGCATCTTTGCATCTTTGCATCTTTGCATCTTTGCATCTTTGCATCTTTGCATCTTTGCATCTTTGCATCTTTGCATCTTTGCATCTTTGCATCTTTGCATCTTTGCATCTTTGCATCTTTGCATCTTTGCATCTTTGCATCTTTGCATCTTTGCATCTTTGCATCTTTGCATCTTTGCATCTTTGCATCTTTGCATCTTTGCATCTTTGCATCTTTGCATCTTTGCATCTTTGCATCTTTGCATCTTTGCATCTTTGCATCTTTGCATCTTTGCATCTTTGCATCTTTGCA